CGTCAGCAGGTGGATGCGCTTCAGCGCTGCGGCGGAGGGAGAGGGTGAGTGCAGGGGATGGAGCCCACACACAGGGTGTGGGGTGGGACATGGGGCGATTCCCACCCTCCAGCCTTCGCTCTGTTATTGCTGCCAAGGGCATGTGCTGAGCTCGGAGGCAACGGCCCCATCGCTTCCCTGCTCCTGTGCAGCCATCCAGTCCCTCCCTGCTGTCCAGGCATCACCCCCAGCATGGACTCAGCATCCATTCCCTTGTAGAGCGGACCCCAGGCTTTCCAGCAGCAGCGCCAGCCCCACGCACCTAACCAGTGCTCCCCTGTCAGCTTCCCAAAGCCATCCCGGTAGGCTTCCCAGCCACGGAAGAAGTTCACGGAGCCGTCCTCCCGCCGCTGGAACACCTGAGGAAACATGCAGGGCATCAGTCATGGGGCTGCTCTGAGCCCGTGCACCCCAACCTCCTCACGGTGCAAATTAAACCCTTACAACTCAGTGACTGCACAGGGATGCTGGTGAGCAGGTCCCCAAGGGGAATGCTGGATCGTTACGTGCCAGCTCCCAGGGATGGGTGAGTTGGTTCAAAGCCCTTCACTGGGTCCTCTGCCTGGAAATAGGAGCAAAGTCTGGGAAAGCCACGGTGAGCTCCTGCAGGAAGGTGGCCGGTGGCCCCGGGCAGATCCCTGCAGTTCAGCGCATCTTTCCTCCTCCCTTTTTCCTCTCCCATCTGCTCATCAGCATGTCATGCCCTGTGTGTTTCATCCATAGTTTTGGGTTTGATTTATTGACATGGATCCAGAAAATGCTGTTCTGTGTCCAACCATTTGAACTTAATTAAGCCTCCAGCCCTGGATTAATTGCATTAAACTTGGCTGAGCCAGCCTGCCCGATTGCCACCAAGCGCTGTGCTCCCATGGCCATGGCAGTGATTTGGGAACAGCCATCCCATGTGCTGGCAGCCAAGGGGCCAGAGCATCTTGGTTTTAAGGCTGGGCTGTGCTGCTGAGCCCATTCACCCCAATTCCAGCATCCCAGGCTCGGGCAATGCCACCGAGTCCTTACGCTGGCTGGGAAGTGCCATGCTTTGCTGTGCCGCAGGGATGCTCTGGCTGCTCCTAACTATTGCACACACAGGGTTTCATCCCAGCATGTGGAGGAGACTCAGCTTGTGAGCTTTATGCCGGTTTGTCCTTCACCGGATGGGCATTTTGGGGGCCGCAGATGCCCGGTGCCCGCTGCAGCACGCTCCTCGGCACGGCTCTGATCCTGCTGTACTTACCTTCTAGAATTAGAGCCTTAATTTTTATCCCTGCGTTGAGCACTTGAGAAGCTGTGGTTAAGCCTATTTAAAGGGGCTTTCTTCAGGCTTGCTGGGAAGGGGGATGGTGCTGGATGGGGCCCCGAAGCTGATTTTCCCTGGCTCCCGTGCTGCCATGCAGGGAAGGCAGCAGAAGTGGCACCGATGCTCCCTCCTAATCGGCTTTGACCCGCAGTTGTAAATAGGCCAATTGCCTGAGCAGTGCCCAGGGAAGCGTGTGGGGCACATCTCCATGACCGAGCCTTTGGCACACTCAGGAATCACCCCGGGGCATTGGAGCAGCCCTTTGGTGCCTTACTGTCCACTAAGCTCAGCCCCAAGCGGCTTGAAACCAGGCTGGGAGGTTGCTGGAGGTCCTGTGTGTCCTCCTGAGTCTCCTGCTCCATTCTCATCATCTCTTGCGGACAGTCTCTCCTCGTGCTTTACTCCTGCGTCCACCGGGGATGTGGGAGCTGCCTCCCTGCACCGGGATGCTGCGAGCACCGGTGACTGCAGGCTCCCAGCCCTGCCTCGCCGCTCTGTTCCTCCTCATCAAATATGCATCACCCTCCTCTTAAGCAAAAAGGATTTCCTTCCCTTCTTTAAAGGCAAAGCTAAAATATTTATCTCCCCCGCTCTCTGCCTCTCCCGGTCGCTCTGAGCTCACAGGGCAGGGACAGGCCCCTGCAAAGGTGCCAACCCAGAAAATGGGTTAAAACCAGAGGAAATTGGGAGCGCCAGCCGGCGCCTGCCGTGGTGGTGGTGGTGGTGGTGAGGGAAGGCTTTGCTCCTGCTCCCTGAAGCCTCCTGATGCCAGTGCCCACCAAACCCCATCAGGCTCAAATCACAGCCACAGCCTGGGCAGATGCTCGACCATCACTTCTCTGACACCGCAGCGCTTGAGCTCCTGGTTTGCAGCAGCTGTGGCATGGACCCCACAGCCCCAGCCCTGTGGGGTTCCCTGGAGCCCCCTTTCTGGTGGAGAGACCGTGTCTGGGTTCAGCCATGGAGAAGACAACCTTGGAGCATCGCAGGAGCCAGACCCTGGGAAATGCCAACCCCGTGTCGCAGCCTGTGAACACTGTGACCTGCAGCACTGTCCCCACCGGCTGAAGTGTCTTGTCCCTGTTCTTGGCAACTCATAAATCCTCTCTTTTGGGAGCAGAACATGTCACCCCAGGCTTGTCTCACCCGCTGCCTTTGGCTCAGCCTAGCCTGAGTGTAAATGCATCAGTGTCTGCTCAAAGCCCCAGCCTGCTCAGGACCCTCCAGCGGGTGACGAGCAGGATGGGTGCAGCCATCCCCACCAGCATCCTCAGCATGGCAGGTGCTCATGGACCTGGAAGCTGTCACTTAACATTACCACGGCTTCCATCCTGCTGGCACAGCCTTTTCTTAAGCATCCTTCAGCTTTCCCACCGTGGACAATGATGTTGAGGTGGCTGGAGCCATCACAGCATCATTGCTTATGGAGCTGAGATGCTGATCCCAGCCCCAGCAGGGCAGTTGGTGGAGGCTCAGGAGCAGCAAGAGGAGCATGGAATGTTTGCAAAGGCTTCCAAAGACAACAGCATGTGAAGAGGCAACTTTTTCGGGCCTCCCAGGATGCTGAGGCTCCCCTCACCCTCCATCGCCCCATTAGTACTTTAGTAACGTGCTGGAGGTGAGTGTCACAGTGGGAAGTTGGGGTCAGGATGGGCAATTATGTGTCTGTACATGCTTGGCTCAGCTGCAGTTCGAGTCAGTGCTGAGCACAGGATGCAGATGCTCCTGTTGTCACCGAACCAGACCCACGCCCCAGCTGGACTGTGGCTGTCCCAGGCTGGATGTGGCCATGGTGGGGAGCAGAAGTGATGGTCTAGTAAGCGCTGTGACTTGCTCAGCCTTCCCAACAAAGGGGATGAGGAACAACCAAGGACCTCTGGCAAGGGGATGGGGTGACACTGGAGATCAGGCCATGGGGACAGGATGGTGCTGAGCAGCAACCCCGGGCAGGTTTCTCCCCAACAGGCCATCAGGGTCTGTTCTAAGAGGTCTGCTCCAAGAGGTCTTTAAGCTGTCCATGCAGGCTAAAGCTGAGCTCAGCAGCTCCCAAGCTCCCGAGTCGAAATTGATTCAGCTGCTGCCATCGCTTCCATCCACCCACCCACATGCAAATAAGCCCAAATGTCAGGAGTAATCGCTCCAGAGGAGGAGGAGGAGGGAAAATTCCCAGGCTCTGCACTGCCATGGCTTACCTGGAGCCCCGGAGAGCCCCAAGGACCACCCTGCACACCCAGCCCCATGGCAGATGTCTGAGACACCCCCTGCACCCCAAGGGACGGGAGGTACGTTTGGGACCCTGTGCTGCAGAGCAACCTTCAGAATGGGAATGGGAGCCCGGGGCGAGCATCCTCAGCGCTGCTCTGGATGTGCCCAGCTCTGGAACGCCGGGATTCGGCCCCTGGTTTGGCTCCTTGGCAGCGCTGTGCTCGCCCCACTGACAGATCCCACGGTGCTGCTGGGTGTAAACCCATTCCCTTCGCCCCCCTACCAGCCCCGCCGGGGCCCTC